GCTCTTCCGATCTATGAAAATTTTTTCGATTGAAAAAAAAAAGAAAATTTTTCAAAATCCCAAGGTTGGAAAAATAAATGAACATTTTTTCAAAATTCCGAGGTTGAAAAAAAAATGAACATTTTTTCAAAATTCCGAGGTTGGAAAAAAAAATGAACATTTTTTCAAAATTCCGAGATTGGAAAAAAAATGAAATTTTTTTCAAAATTCCGAGGTTGGAAAAAAAAGGAAAATTTTTTAAAAATTTCGAGGTTGAAAAAAAAAATAAAAATTTTATCAAAATTCCGAGGTTGGAAAAAAAAATAAAAATTTTTTAAAAATCCCGAGGTTGGAAAAAAAATGAACATTTTTTCAAAATTCCGAGATTGGAAAAGAAAATGAAAATTTTTCCAAAAATTCCGAGGTTACAAAACAAAATGAAAACTTTTTCAAAATTCCGAGGTTAGAAAAAAAAAATGAAAATTTTTTCAAAATTGCGCGATTGGAAAAAAAAAGAAAATTTTTCAAAATCCCAAGGTTGGAAAAATAAATGAACATTTTTTCAAAATTCCGAGGTTGGAAAAAAAAAGGAACATTTTTTCAAAATTCCGAGGTTGGAAAAAAAAATGAACATTTTTTCAAAATTCCGAGGTTGAAAAAAAAAATGAATATTTTTTCAAAATTCCGAGGTTGGAAAAAAAAATGAACATATTTTCAAAATTCCGAGGTTGGAAAAAAAATGAAAATTTTTTCAAAATTCCGACCCTGGAAAAATAAAATGAAAATTTTTTTAAAATTCCGAGATTGGAAAAAAAAATGAACATTTTTTCAAAATTCCGAGGTTGGAAAAAAAAATGAAAATGTTTTCAAAATTCCGAAGTTGGAAAAAAAAAATGAACATTTTTTCAAAATTCCGAGATTGGAAAAGAAAATGAAAATTTTTTCAAAATTCCGAGGTTACAAAACAAAATGAAAACTTTTTCAAAATTCCGAGGTTAGAAAAAAAAACCGAAAATTTTTTCAAAATTGCGTGATTGGAAAAAAAAAGAAAATTTTTCAAAATCCCAAGGTTGGAAAAATAAATGAACATTTTTTCAAAATTCCGAGGTTGGAAAAAAAAATGAACATTTTTTCAAAATTCCGAGGCTGGAAAAAAAAAATGAAAATTTTTTCAAAATTCCGAGATTGGAAAAAAAAATGAACATTTTTTCAAAATTCCGAGGTTGGAAAAAAAAATGAAAATGTTTTCAAAATTCCGAGGTTGGAAAAAAAAAATGAACATTTTTTCAAAATTCCGAGATTGGAAAAGAAAATGAAAATTTTTTCAAAATTCCGAGGTTACAAAACAAAATGAAAATTTTTTCAAAATTCCGAGGTTAGAAAAAAAAAATGAAAATTTTTTCAAAATTGCGCGATTGGAAAAAAAAAGAAAATTTTTCAAAATCCCAAGGTTGGAAAAATAAATGAACATTTTTTCAAAATTCCGAGGTTGGAAAAAAAAATGAACATTTTTTCAAAATTCCGAGGTTGCAAAAAAAAATGAACATTTTTTCAAAATTCCGAGGTTGGAAAAAAAAATGAACATTTTTTCAAAATTCCGAGGTTGGAAAAAAAAATGAAAATGTTTTCAAAATTCCGAGGTTGGAAAAAAAAATGAAAATGTTTTCAAAATTCCGAGGTTGGAAAAAAAAAATGAAAATTTTTTCAAAATTCCGAGGTTACAAAACAAAATGAAAACTTTTTCAAAATTCCGAGGTTAGAAAAAAAAAACGAAAATTTTTTCAAAATTGCGCGATTGGAAAAAAAAAGAAAATTTTTCAAAATTCCGAGGTTGGAAAAAAAAATGAACATTTTTTCAAAATTCCGAGGTTGGAAAAAAAAATGAACATTTTTTCAAAATTCCGAGGTTGGAAAAAAAAATGAAAATTTTTTCAAAATTCCGAGGTTGGAAAAAAAAATGAACATTTTTTCAAAATTCCGAGGTTGGAAAAAAAAATGAACATTTTTTCAAAATTCCGAGGTTGGAAAAAAAATGAAAATTTTTTCAAAATTCCGAGGTTGGAAAAAAAAATGAACATTTTTTCAAAATTCCGAGGTTGGAAAAAAAAATTAAAATTTTTTAAAAATTCCGAGATTGGAAAAAAAATGAAATTTTTTCAAAATTCCGAGATTGGAAAAAAAAATGAAAATTTTTTCAAAATTCCGAGGGTTGGAAGAGCATTGGGCTAGTATTCCAAAGGTCGTAGGTTCGAATCCCACCCTGGCCGGGCATATTTTTCAAGCTCGCCCGGTGTGGATATGCACTCAGAGTAACATGGCAAACATATTATTCACCTGAGTACACAACACCAACACAGAGAAAAAAAAAATTCATATTACTAGAACATATTGGTATTGAAGGAACTAGATACTGTTCCGAAATATCACTTACTCGAACCGTCCTCACCGCGTAGCTCAGTTGGAAGAGCATTGGGCTAGTATTCCCAAGGTCGTAGGTTCCAATCCCACCGTGGCCGGGCATATTTTTCAAGCTTGCCCGGTGTGGATATGCATTCAGAGTAACATGGCAAAAATATTATTCACCTGAGTACACAACACCAACACAGAGAAAAAAAAAATTCATATTACTAGAACATATTGGTATTGAAGGAACAGCATACTGTTCCGAAATATCACTCACTCAAACCGTCCTGACCGCGTAGCTCAGTTGGAAGAGCATTGGGCTAGTATTCCAAAGGTCGTAGGTTCGAATCCTACCGTGGCCAGGCATATTTTTCAAGCTCGCCCGGTGTGGATATGCACTCAGAGTAACATCGCAAAGATATTATTCACCTGAGTACACAACACCAACACAGGAAAAAAAAATTCATGTTAGTAGAACATATTGGTATTGAAGGAACTAGATACTGTTCCGAAATATCACTTACTCGAACCGTCCTGACTGCGTAGCTCAGTTGGAAGAGCATTGGGCTAGTATTCCAAAGGTCGTAGGTTCGAATCCTACCGTGGCTGGGCATATTTTTCAAGGTCGCCAGGTGTCGATATGCACTCAGAGTAACAGCGCAAACATATTATTCACCTGAGTACACAACACCAACACAGAAAAAAAAAATTCATATTACTAGAACATATTGGTATTGAAGGAACTAGATACTGTTCCGAAATATCACTTACTCGAACCGTCCTGACCGCGTAGCTCAGTTGGAAGAGCATTGGGCCAGTATTCCAAAGGTCGTAGGTTCGAATCCCACCGTGGCCGGGCATATTTTTCAAGCTCGCCCGGTATGGATATGCACTCAGAGTAACATCGCAAACATATTATTCACCTGAGTACACAACACCAACACAGAGAAGAAAAAAATTCATATTACTAGAACATATTGGTATTGAAGGAACTAGATACTGTGCCGAAATATCACTTACTCGAACCGTCCTGACCGCGTAGCTCAGTTGGAAGAGCATTGGGCTAGTATTCCAAAGGTCGAGGTTCGAATCCTACCGTGGCCGGGCATATTTTTCAAGGTCGCCCGGTGAGGATATGCACTCAGAGTAACAGCGCAAACATATTATTCACCTAAGTACACAACACCAACACAGAAAAAAATTCATATTACTAGAACATACTGGTATTGAAGGAACTAGATACTGTTCCGAAATATCACTTACTCGAACCGTCCTGACCGCGTAGCTCAGTTGGAAGAGCATTGCGCTAGTATTCCAAAGGTCGTAGATTCGAATCCCACCGTGGCCGGGCATATTTTTCAAGCTCGCCCGGTGTGGATATGCACTCAGAGTAACATCGAAAACATATTATTTACCTGAGTACACAACACCAACACAGAAAAAAATTCATATTACTAGAACACATTGGTATTGAAGGAACTAGATACTGTTCCGAAATATCACTTACTCGAACCGTCCTGACCGCGTAGCTCAGTTGGAAGAGCATTGGGCCAGTATTCCTAAGGTCGTAGGTTCGAATCCCACCGTGGCCGGGCATATTTTTCAAGCTCGCCCGGTGTGGATATGCACTCAGAGTAACATCACAAACATATTATTCACCTGAGTACACAACACCAGCACAGAAAAAAAAATTCATATTACAAGAACACATTGGTATTGAAGGAACTAGATACTGTTCCGAAATATCACTTACTCGTACCGTCCTGACCGCGTAGCTCAGTTGGAAGAGCATTCGGCTGGTATTCCAAAGGTCGTAGGTTCGAATCCCACCGTGGCCGGGCATATTTTTCAAGCTCGCCCGGTGTGGATATGCACTCAGAGTAACATCACAAACATATTATTCACCTGAGTACACAACACCAGCACAGAAAAATTTCATATTACAAGAACACATTGGTATTGAAGGAACTAGATACTGTTCCGAAATATCACTTACTCGAACCGTCCTGACCGCGTAGCTCAGTTGGAAGAGCATTGGGCTAGTATTCCAAAGGTCGTAGGTTCGAATCCCACCGTGGCCGGGCATATTTTTCAAGCTCGCCCGGTGCGGATATACACTCAGAGTAACACCACAAATATCATATTCACCTGAGTACACTACACCAACACAGAAAAAAATTCACATTTAATAGAATACATTGGTATCGAAGGAACTAGA